CAAAGGCCAGCCAATTTTCCACTACAGCAGAGCTCCACAAGACCTGGTCAACTGAAGTCCTTGTGTCAACAAAAATGCTTCAGGATTGGCCAGCCCAGTCCCCAAAAGTGAACATTATTGAGCATATGTGGGGTAGGATGAAAGAAAAAGCATGGAAGACAAAAGAATATTGATGAACTCTGGGAGGCAAGCAAGACTGCTTTCTTTGCCATTTCTAATGACTTCATCAATAAATTGTATGAATCCCTGCCAAACTGCATGGATGCAGTCTTTCAAGCTCATAGGAGTCACACAAGAAATTACATTTGGATCTTACAGCACCGCTATATATAATTTGCTGTCTTATTTTTGTATTTGAAGTAAATTTGTTCAATTTCTGTATAGGCGACAGATCATGATCTTTTTGTCTTGATTAAATGATAAATATTTTTCTGTGAAACACATTTATTTAATTGCATTAAACATCATTTGGTAGGGTTTTAGATTTTCATTTGAGCTATTTCTAACATTAATTGATTAATTAAAAGTTTAATCCCCGATTTCACAAACAAGGTTTAAGGCTAGTCAAGATTAAATGGCATGTTTGAGCTGTCTCAACTCAAAATAACTTTTTTTTTACATCAGTGTCATTTCTTGTCTCCAGGTGCACACCAGTAATATATTTTTCTAAGGCCATTTTTATAAATGTGGCTTAAATAGCCTAATTTAACTAAGGACTGGTCCTGGCGTAATCTAAGCCCTGTTTGTGAAACTCTGCCTAAAAGTCTTTTAATAGGTTAATAGCAGGTGTTTCTACAAAATTGAGAAGCGACAAGACTTTTGTCAGGGACTGTATATACCGGGTATATCTACAGGTCATAATAAATACAATAAATGTGGTGCAGGGGTTTATACAAGTAACTGAAAAAACACTTAATGTTCAACTATTAACTAATTATTGAAACAACAGTAGTATATGCTGTAGTGCGGCAGAGTAGAAAAAAAGCATATGCACGAAAACACAAATACAGTTGGATTAATCAATTACAATTCACAAAACTCGATAAAGCAAATATACATTTAATGTGTGTATGGGCGACATGAGAATGCGGGTGAGAAGGAGAGGTAGATTAATATCATTATAACTGCTTACATCACTAGATTCATTCCTTCTCTGCTGGTCTTATGCTGGGTTCACATCAAACACATGAGTATATTACATACAAACTTAATGGAAATGCTTGAATGGAGGCGAATTATCGTTGTGCTGGCTGAAAGATGTGGAATGCGTAACGTTTGCTGTGAGTTTGCACAAAATTCACCTCTATCGTGCAATTTACCACACAAGTTCAAATAATTAAACTCGAGCGACACCATTCTCCGCATCTGGTGCGAGCCTAGCTTCTCATTCATTTCCCATAATTTTGAAACATTATTTTTTCTGCTGTAAGTGCACCCCTGCATAAAGATCTATTGAAATAATCCAAAAGAATCTTCATTAAATCACTGAGAAAACAAAACCATGCATTGCATAACTTGCACACCTTACACCTGTGCATCTGAAACGATGGGTCAGCAGCAGGCAGACCTGAATACCGAGTCGGCGAGTTGCCTTTAACGCAGTGATAAAAAGTGTGTGTCTGTATTAGTGACATGCGGGATCCGTAAGGCGCACACTGGTCTCTGGACAGATTGCAGCAGCTGGTGTTTGTGTCAGCAGGGTACAGTGAAGCAGTGGCTGAAACTGTTACTGTGCAGTGCCTCATTGCCTACTGATGAGATGAAATGTCAGTTGCATTTCTCCTGCTGATCTGCACCCGGTAGGCAAGCTGTGCCTACTGCGTGAGGAGTCTGTGTCCTAACATTGTGAGAGACCTCTGGATCAGTCATTGGCTGTAAAAGCAGAGAGGACCAGCAGGAACTCTAAGGGGGGGGGAATATTGTAGTCGCTCTTGCTCTACTTCGTGTAACGTCTCACCGTCGAGTAGCAGGGATTGTATGGACATTTCTTGGGAGATTTGACTTCTTCATATCCGTGTTTTAACATTAAATATTGCATTAGTATTGAGGAAAAAAAAGACAACTTGAATGGCTGTTTGTGAAGCGCTGTTGTAAAAGTGTACACTAAAGAGAGGAAGGTTTGTTTAAATCAGTATCTGGATGAAGTTTTAAAAGCCAACATACCCTTTAGAAAGTTTTGAACATGACATTAATGGCTTGAGTTGGCAGTTCCTTTTGTTAATTAGATGTGTGAACGCAGGATAGCAAATTAAAAGTACAATAAGAGATCTTAGAAAGTGCTAAAGTTAGCCAGATACCACTGAAAGTCTATGTCCCCCCCTTAAAATTTTCATCCAAAGCAATACCTCCTCAATGCATGTACATGCACTAGACAACCTCACTACAATACAACAACATTTATTAGAGAGAAATGTTTATAGTACAGTTGGTAATTATAATTCATTCATTCATTCACTTTCTTTTCGGCTCAGTCACTTTATTATTCTGGGGTCACATACGTAATAGATTTTTAAACATTGAATGTTTTTGACTGGAACAAAAAATAACCCATTTATATTTTTTGGCTTAGTCCCTTTATTAATCTTGGATTTATACACATTTTTACGCAGCGGATGCCATTCCAGCTGCAACCCATCACTGGGAAACAACCATTCACACTCATTCACACACATACACTACGGACAATTTAGCTTACGCAATTCACCTATACCACGTCTTTGGATTTGTGGTGCAAACCGGAGCACCCGGAGGCAACCCAATCACATGCAAACTCCACACAGAAATCCTGAGACTTGAACCAGCGACCTTCTTTTTGTGAGGCGACAGCACTACCTATTGCGCCACTGTGTCGCAGTAATTATAATATATTAGCATAATAATATATGAACATGCTGGTGATTGTAATCCTCTCTGCGCAAACAGGGTGCACAGACGTTTGTAATTGCATATTTTGTCAGGTAAATAGGACGGCCTATCGTAAGGTTTAGGCCAAATGTTTTGATTGGATAAACTTTTCTTAGTCCTTCACCTTCCACAGAATATTAAAGTATATTTAAATGCATTTGAACTAGTTAATTTAAAGGGGCAAAAAAGGATAATTAATAAATAAAAACGAAGCAATTGTGAATAAAACTGGACCTCTTAGACAGCGGTGACTCTAGTGGTAAAATACTATAGTCATGTTTGCCATACTTTATGCAATGTCTCTTATACTGCAAAAATTGTGTGACTAAGGTTGTTATATTACTTTTTCTTTTACTTTTTGTTATTATTCAAAGTTTAGCTTAAGAAGTTTAACATAGGTCACTTTGACTGATGTAAGTTCAAATGTCTAAAAAAGTTCATTTTAGTTAACAAAAATGTATATACTGTAGCAATATATATATATATATATATATATATATATATATATGATGTATCCTTAAGTAACAGATTTTATTCTTAAATTTTTTGCGGACTTTTGGCTTTTTTAAATTCTGTGACCTGTTTATGCTAGGATGTTAAATATAGTAAAGGTCGAAAGCATGGAAAGAAAAAAAAATAGAACTGATTGCATGACCATCTGTGCATCGCTGTTGAAAAAGTGTGGACTAAAAGGGGGGCAGGTTTGTTCAAATCAGTTTCTGGATAAACTTTGTAAAGACAACATACCCTTTGGAAAGTTTTTAACAAGACCTAAAAGGCTTGAGTCGCTAGATACATTTGTTATATTAAACAAGCAAACAAAGTTAAATAAATAAATAAATTAATTAATGAATTAATTAATTAATTATTAAATGAATGAATAAATAAATAAATAAATAAATAAATAAATAAATAAATAAATAAATAAATAAATAAATAAATAAATAACTAAATAAATAAATGGGCAGTCACACATTTCTGTTGCACTTGTGAATGTAATGGGCAATCAGGGGCATTAGTTAACTTTAATGGATGACTGACGATTTGTAAAGTCCCTTGGGCAAAATTGCTTAAAATGCCTAAAAAAGTACATGATAAGGATACCAAAATGGCATTTATTTATTTTATTTATTTTATTTATTTTATTTATTTTATTTATTTTATTTATTTTATTTACTTATTTATGATTTGTTTGTTTGTTTATTATTATTTGCTTGCTTGCTTGCTTGTTTTGCATATTAGAATTTTGTTTACTTATTTGTGAGCTTAGCATTGTAACCAATCAAAAACATTTCTGTTGTGCTTATGAAGGACCAAAGACAATTCCGAGGGATTTAGATTAGTCACCGGACAAAATGAGTCACAAATTATCTTAGCATACCCATACATGCTGATATGATACAAGTTAGAGGCTCAAAAAATTTTTTTCAATTTCCCCTACACAATTCTAAAAAATAAAAAGTGTCAATTTGCACCATTCCGTGTGAGCGGTCTGTGTTGTTGTATTGTGAGAGACCCTTTGGCTGTCAGCCAGCTGGATCTGTAGTGGAAACTATTGTAGTCACGCTTTGTGTAACATTGAAACGTTGAATGTTAGTGTAACAAAGTGTATGTTGTGTTTTGTGGACTTTGATTTTTTATATTCATGCAAGCATTACATATATTGGAATTCATTACATAAAGTGGAATAGATAACAGGATAGAGAGAGAGAAAGAATGGCATGCAGCACTGTTGTACAAGTGTGGATTAAACGGGGACAGGTTTGTTCAAAGCACTCTCCGGATGGACAGCACACAACATAAATTGAATTTACTTGTTGTACAATGTTAAAATGTTCATAACCGCATGCTAAATGTAAGAATAACCTGTAAAATAACAGTAAATGAGCTCTACTTCCACATTTTGATTGAATAATGCAGGTTTTTGGTCTTGCCCCCTTGCTCTTCTCACCACCTTATGCTGTTTCCATTTTTTTATTCGTCAAAAGATATGTTTTAATTGCACTATTAATTGATTGGTATTTGCTAGACATATTTTGCATGGAATGTATTGCGTTCCAGTACGTGAGTAGTAAGTCGTATCTATCCTCTTGTAGGTGCTGTAACGGGCGTTGACCAAGAGAAGGGGGCCGGCCAAAAAAGACTGCCTTAAACGTTCTTCTTTTTCCAAAATGTTCTTCTTTTTGCTCTGCGGGAGTAGGACAGAGCTTGCCTCTTGTCACAGTTTGCCATAACACATATCTCTTCATCTCTGAAATATATATAACTACCTTTTTTGCGCACATAAACAATGAGAAAACCAAACGGACAAAGTCGGAAAGGAAAAAACTGACGGGCTGATGTTTGTCACCTCCCCCAACCCTGACTTTTTTTTCCTCCGTAGCTTTTTGGGAGCGGATATCTGTCTTCTAAGGACACTGCAAGGAATTTGGACTAATGGATTTGTGATATCTACGTTTTTGCCTCCTCTCCGCTGTGCGTTTCTTCCCTTTGCTATGAACTCTTTTGTACGGACTCACCCCCTTCTCTCTTCCCTGTCTTCTCCTGTCCCCTTTTGAAACCCATTGGAGTCTTACTATCATTGCAAACACCCAGGGTTTGGTAGGTATGCCTTCTCTCTCTTTTTCAATATCCTCTCTTCACTTTTTTCTCCTCTCTGTCTTCTTTTCCCTGCCACAGCCAGACTCATTCACATCCATTGAAAAATCACCTAAGAGCACTTAATAGCTCTTCTATAATGCACTCTGACCTCTTATCAAATACAGCAACAGCATTTTTTTTTTAGTCCCATAACTTGCGGTCTTTCTCATCTCTCTACATTAAAAAAAAAGAGGGAATAGTTTTATAAAATAAAAGATTGCACTGCAGCCGAATCGAATGATGAATTTGCACTTTGCTCATATTTCCCTCCTTTGCTCATTTTTTGTCATCCATCCAAACACCCGAAATTACACCTAGACAAGAAAATGATCACCGTTTTGGCTTCATCTGACATTTACTGTACAAACCTGAACACAAGTTGTGTTTGTTAATTAGATTGGGTGACTTTAGGGTTAGAAATTAACAAATTATTATTATAAAAAAGCCTTGCAAATTCAAGATATGGGGCCAAAAAATGCCTTACTAATGAAAAGCATCAATTTGTATGTTGCCTACAGTTTTTTTATAGGCAATCACACATTGTGGTTGCACTTCTGAATGCAGTGGCCAATCAGAGGCATTTGTTAAAGTGACTGGGTGATTGCAGGGTTGGAAATGAATGGGGCAAATAAAAAATAAATATCCCCACAAAATTGCACAGTTTAAAAAAATGAAACAGTTGTCAATTAGTATGTTGCATCATGTGTCTTTTTGGGCAGTCACACACATTTCTGTTGCACTTGGGAATGTAATAGCCAATCAGGGGCATTTGTTAACTGTTAAATGGATGACTGACGATTTGTAAAGTCGCTTGGGCTAAATGACTCAGAATGGCACAATAAATACCATGCTCATTTACAAACGAGAAAGTCAATTAGCATTATTTATTTATTTATTTACTTATTTATTTATTTATTTATTTATTTATTTATTTATTTATTTGCTTGCTTGCTTTAAATTAGGATTTTGTTTACTTATTTGAAAGCTAAGCATTGTAACCAATTGCAAACATTTCTCTTGTGCTTACACTAAAATATTCTACCTTAAATTTACAGTAAATTATTGGCTAATAGTTGCATTACTTTCACTGTAATGTACTGCATGTAAATTCACTTTAAATTACTGTAAGGTTGTACATAATAAACATAATTCTGTAATAATTTCAAAGTATCAAAAAAGTGCTTGTACTAGCAATTCATGTGTATTAATTTCTTTGTTGAATGAAATAAAGTGTTGGAATTCCTATAACTAGCGTGCAAAAGATATAGCCCCTTTTAACAGTAATTTGCGGTAATCATGATGCCTGCCTTATTACAATAAAATTCTGAAAAAAATGTCAAAATTAAATCCTATAAAGGAATATTAATGTAATTCACTGCGAAAATTACAGTAACAAGTTGTGAAATTCTGGTAATATTTTACAGTGTATGAATCTGAGGCATTTACTGTAGATTAGACAAAATGATCCATAAATTCTCTTAGCATACACATTAATGCAGATAAAATACAAGTAAGATGCTAATTTTAATATTTAATTCAAATGAGATTTGTTTAATTCTCAACAGATTGTTTAATAATAATGTTTTATAGTAAAGTATTTGTAAAATATTCAGATTAACTGAAGTCATTAGTTTTGTTTAAGTATTTTAGTACAGGATTTCATGTAAAAGGCAACATGGCCCTTATAAAGGTTTTTAAAAGATGCCACAGAAATCAATACCTGAAGTAAAATCTTGGCCCTTAAAATAAAAGTTAATTTCTGACCCTGGATGACTGTTACATAAACTCCATTCCAGTGTTTCTCTCTTTCTATCTCTCTCTCTCTCTCTTTTGCTTTGATGAAGGCATTGACCTGTTCGCCTCACACCAATGACTGTGCCACAATGTAAGACAGACACCAAATACACGTTTGCCTTTGAACAGAAAACACGAATTGATGTGAATATTGTAGACGTCGACATTCCTGCGTCTCTACGCAGGGGGGAACTTGTGTAAATATGTAACTAGCTTTGAATGATATTTATCAAATATATAAATATATATAAATATTATAAATACACGGTACACCTGACAGTATGTCCGTAATGTGAACAATTTATTTTATGATCACATATGGGATTTTTTCTTCTCGGTGTGTCTGAGACAACGATTACAGAAGCAGTAGATGGGCAGGCTAGATTAATGTCATGAGTCATTTACTTACATTAAGCCAGTGATAGAGATTCTGTCAACTCTGCAGACAGTCTAGCTGAAAGTGCTGTTCTTGTGAATGTACTTTGTATTCAGCCAATTTTAGTACAATAAATGGACTTATCAACATCCGCTTGCTGTGTCTGGAGTTTTACTAGCAATTTAGAAGCATGAGGGTGAATGTTTTTGGGTTGATGTTTAAGTCTGACAAATTGATGCTTATGCCATGGTATTTAAATATATTATATTTGAATTACTAACATATTCATGGGGCGACAAGGTGGCTCAGTGGTTAGCACTGTCGCCTCACAGCAAGACTGTCACTGGTTCGAGAACAGCTGGGTCAGTTGGCGTTTTTGTGTGGAGTTTGCATGTTCTCTCCATGTTAGCGTAAGTTTCCTCCACGTGCTCTGTTTTCCCCTACAGTCCAAAGACATGCGGTTTAGGTGAATTGGATGAACTACATTTGCCATATGTGTGTGAATGACTGTGTATGGGTGTTCCCCAGTACTGGGTTGCAGCTGAAAGGGCATCCGCTGTGTAAAACATATGCTGGAAAAGTTGACGGTTTATTCAGCTGTGGTGTTCTCTAATAAATTATGGGACTTAGATAAAGGAAAATAAAAAGAAATGAACATGTTCCTGTGTTATCTTATTAGCTTTGAATTTTAAGGTACTTAAAGAGACAACTCAACCAAAAATATGGACCATCAAAATAAACTTACCATACTATCAAATTTACAAATGCACTTAGTATTACAGCACTGTTAAATTTGTAATTTTCAGTGTATTTTTGTAACTTTTGCCAGTAATACTGTACAACATTTTGACGCAAATATTGGAATACATAATGTGGAATAACCCACACTGTAAAAATGCTGCAATTTTGGTTGCCAGTAATACTATTAATTTACAAGCAATCTGCAAATTGATAATTACAATTGTGTTGCAAAACACAATTGTAATTGTTAATTTACTGTGCACTTTTAATCGTTACAGTATCCTATTGTTAAGTCATGAAGTATAAGATACTGTTTCCGGGTCCAAGCTGCTACTCATTTGAATTCAGAAAATATTTGTTTATGACGACTTTTTAGTCATATCACACATTTAAGTGAATTTCATATAAAATTATAGTGTACACACCAGTCTCTGGATTTGCTGCATCAAAGGCATCAATATTTTTACAATTTATAGAACATTATTCAGGCCATGAGATATTAGGCATGGTTATATTTATATGTTTGTATTCGGGCTATGATTTTATCGAAAGTATTACATCGCTTTGTAAACATTTATTATTACAAGCAAATTACTGGAAACCAAAATTGCCAGTAATACTGTAAATTTTACAGCAATATTTTTTACAGTGCAGATCACAGTACCATTTTCTGTAGTAAATGGATGGATGGATTGATGGATGGATAGATAGATAGATAGATAGATAGATAGATAGATAGATAGATAGATAGATAGATAGATAGATAGATAGATAGATAGATAGATAGATAGATAGATAGATAGATAGATAGATAGTAGTTTAAAACTAATCTCTTGGTAGTTTTAGTAGTTTCTCTTTTTTTTATCACTCTGTATGGGTGTTTTGCTATCAGTCTTTTTTCAGTCACAAAAACTGAAATGTCAAATATGACAGCTGCAGAAGAAGCCACGATATACTAAAAGACAACAATGCACAATGTAGAAGCACATATGAATTGTGATTTAGGTGAACTGTAAACTTGTGTTTGACGTAGACAGTGCTTATATTTTTTTTTTTCTTCACAGTCTCTGAATCACAAAGCAGCGATCAACAATATCTAATTTCCTTCAGACAAAAAAAACAAAAACAAAACATTCACATTTGCATATCAGTGCCTTTTGCGGTCAAGGAGAAAGACTCGACAGACTGTGACATTTTTATTCAGCAGGAAAAAAATCAACAGAGCTATTGTTAAAGCTATAGGCCTTTATCTGAGTGGTATTTAAGGCCCAAAATAACATTGAGTGGATCATTTAGTGGAGTGTGTGTATGTCTACTTGTTTTTATAGCCGATGGGGACTTAAACTTGAGAGCAAACAGACTCATTGGGTCTTGTGTCACAGTGGGGACCAAAATTGAGGTCGCCATGAGTAAACATGTTTATAAATCACACAGAATGAAGTATTGTAAAAATGCAAAAACACAACACATTCTTTCTTGAGGGTCGGGTTTAAGGATAGGGTAGAAATTGTTTATAGAGCCATCATTATGTCGACGATAGTCCACTCTTAGATATAGAAATGTGTTTGTGTGTCTGTGTGTGTGTTAGTGTGTGTGTGTGTGTGTAGTAGCAGTAATCACAAAACACATCCCAGAGAAACCACGACTCCATTTTCACTTTCTAATTTGGGCAGAGCTTGATGACAACATGAAAGACATGCTTTTTGTTTTTCCTCTCACACCTTGCATGAACACATTTCGCATGTGTGTATGTGTGTGTGTGTGTGGGCTGTGAGAGATAGCGGTGATGTCAGCAAGCAACTGAAGACATTTTAAACGGAAGGCGCCACTGAATTTAATTAAATCATAACTCGGAGGCCTAATTAACACCGTGATAAATAACATTGTCCACCAGAAGTACAGCTTCTCCAGAGAAGCAGAAATGGATGTGATCCAGCTTCATTTTCTTTTTTTTCTTTTTTTTTTTTGAGGAAACTAAATGTGTGTACATATTTGAAGAAAAAATTAAATAGATTAATATTTGAACTCTAAACAAGTTATTGTTTTTTTTTTTTTGTATTATATATTATTAAAAAATATTATAAAAGTATTTTTTTATTATGTGTTTTAAAATTTTGAATCAGAGTATGTTTGGATTCGTGTGACAGTGTTTTGTGTTCCAAATATTAAAATATGAAATTAATAAAATAATTTATTCTAACATAAAGCAATAAAGCAAGTTTAGCATTTTTGTTTACACATTAATAATAATAATAATAATAATAATAATAATAATAATAATAATTATAATAATAATAATTATAATAATAATAGTTTTAGTTTTAATAATAATAATTATTATTATTATAATAATAATAGTAGTAGTAGTAGTAGTAGTAATAATAATAATAATAATAATAATAATAATTACTACTACCACTACTAGAACAACAGCAACAACAACAATAACTATTATTATTATTATTATTATTATTATTATTACTATTATTACTATTATTATTATTACAACAACAACAACAACAACATCAATAATAATAATAATAATAATAATAATAACTGTAATAATTATAATAATAATAGGCAGTTCATTCTACTGTGACAACCCCAGATTAATAAAGGGATCAAGCCAAAAAGAAAATGAACGAATGAATAATAATAATAATAATAATAATAATAATAATAATAATAATAATAATAATAATAATAATTATTATTATTATTATTATTATTAATAATAATAATAATATATATTATATAACATATTTATAATTATTATTATTATTATAATTATTATTATTATTATTGCAATTAATAAACTTTATTTATTTAGCTTTTTTCTTTTTTAATTAAGACTTATTAAAACGCCTCTTTCCTGTTCGCCTCCAGGTAAAACTTAACGTTAAGACACTAAAACTGTGTTAGATATTTTGTTTCAGATACTGTATCTTCAATTAACCTGCATTGTAAATCTCGAGTGAACATTAAGTCTTTGCAGCATGTGTGTCTAAGTGCATGTGCATTCCTACAGAATGTTCGTCTTAAAGGCACTGCCTACCTGAGCAGACTTTATATACACTCAGACAGATGGTGCCAGGCAATGTTTGGCTAAACACAGCATTTGCCTGTTACCACACAATCAATCAGTAGAGGGAAACTCTTATTCTCAGCACATTTCCATATTCATATACAGTGGAAGTTATTAGCCCTCCTTTGAATTATTATTATTTTTTTTATTATTATTTTCTTTTTAAAATATTTCCCAAATGATGTTTAACAGAGCAAGACCATTTTCACAGTATGTCTGATAGTATTTTTTCTTCCAGACAGAGTCTTATATTTATTTATTTTTTATTTTGGCTAGAATAAAAGGAGTAATTTTTCAAAAAACATTTTAAGGTCAAAATTTTGTTTTCGATAGTTGTAGTTTGTAATAGTTGTAGTTGTCGTCACCATCATCGTTGTCACTGTCGTCGTCGTTGTTGATGATAGATTGATCATTGTTGTTTTTGTTGTTGTTATTTTTTTAATATGTTTAAAAATATATATATTTTATTTTATTTTATTTTTATTGACCACAATAAATGACCGAGCCTGAGCGTGATTGCACCTATTCCCCTACCACGCCACCCCTATGCAACCTTCTACCCCGCTTTCATCTTTGATAAATCATGCATAAATCATGCCAGTTCACATTCATTAAAAAATAAGAATCAATAAAAAATCCATATAAAACAGGCCTTTAAAAGTGTGACGCTGCGGCTTCAGTTTTGCACTTGACCCTAACCGAGCCGCGCTCTGGCCCAAATTTTCCAACCGGGCCGGAGCCAGCCAAATCGAACCCTACTCGTGCTCTTAAATCGTTGTGCGTCTGCATCTGTATGTCTGCGCCTACCTGAACAGGCTTTATATGCTTCTCAGACAGATGGTGCCAGGCTGTGTTTGGCTAAACAGGGCATTTACTTGTTACCACACAATCAATCAGTACAGGCAAAAACTCACACGCTCAGCATGTTTCCAACACCTCCAGCACAGATGTGCTCCAGTTTGGGCTACGCGGACACGGGCACCGCTATTCTCAGATCTGTGCATCCCTCCGGGGTCCTCGCACAGCAATATCCCTGTGCCCTGCTCGAGCTGGCTAAGGACATGCCTGACTGTAAAGAGAATCCCATTAGCGAGGTCTTTAGTGTTTTGTGGGTCGGTTTTGGCCCGTCCACTCGAACTGGCACAATGCTAGGCCTAGCGCTGGGCAAACAGAGGGTGCTTATTATAGTGCGGTGCTTCTGTGCCAGCCTAGCCAAGCCTGACAGCGCCAGCTCACAGCATAATCCACTCTCTCCACCTCCATCCTCACTGTTTTCCAAATTACCTTCCATCTCGAGCGCTCCACAGACCGTCATCCATCCCTCTT